CCTCCTGCCCCTCCCCAGGGCCTCTCACCCCTGCCCCCCTGCCTCAGTCTCCCTAGCAGTGCTGGGGTCAGGCAGGGGCCCGCTGTGCCCTCCCCCAGGGCATTTCCAAAGAGGTGAGGGCTGTGAGGCTGCAGCATCTGTTTATTGACTAGAAAGAGGCGTCCCACGAGGCATCCCACAGGCGGGGGTCGGAGGATGGAGAGGCTCTAGGTGGTCCCCGAGGGCTGTGGGTCTCGACTCCAGGGGCGAAGGCGCCTGCTGCTGTGGCTCCACCTGCATGGAAAATGCACGGTGACTCCATCACCCACTCGTGCGACAAACGCCCTTCCTGCTGCCCACAAGCCGGGCATCACTCTTCCAAAGCCACCACCGACAGGCCAGGGAGAGCTCACTCTGCTCCCAAAACTCCTGCAAACCTGGAAACACACACCAGCTACCACTGCTGCCCCACAGGCCCCAGGCGAGAGGCCGATCCTGGCTCCAACACTTCCCCACCTTCCCCGGGGGTGGGGGACCCAGCCCCATGCCCAGCCCCTGGCTGAGTGGCAGCGAGCCGCGGCCTCTGCCTGGTCCTTGGTGAAGGGGCCAGCGTGGCAAGAAAGCCCCGGAATGTCCATGAAGCCACCACAGAACCCACAGCCTCCATGGTCACCCGTGGTGGCCCGGGGGGGGGGGCACTCTACCCCGGGCGGGGCACTCTTCAAGATCATGGGGAGATGGGGCCACATGTTCTGCTCACAGAACCTTCTGGAGGAGGGCGGTTTGGTGTTGACCCCATGTTTCCCAACCCAGCGGGTGTGTGCAGGGAGACTTTGGTGCAGACTTGTGCTAAGCTGGACAGCCCCAGTGTCCCCAGGCAGGACAGCGAGTCTCCAGGAAGTGGACCCTGGGAGTGGAGGCAAAGCTCATGGAGAGGAGCAGAGACGCAGGAAGTGCAGCGGCAGCACGGTGGAAACGAAGGAGAAACAGCCCCGCCTCAGAGCCCCCCCACCTCCTCCCGCCATGCCAGGAAGGTCCAGTGTCCCTCCAGACGCCGGTGACTGTCACGTCAGACACGTGATGTGTGGTTGCGCCCAAATTCTTGGTGGTGAACCTGGGCGAGGGACCCAGCGGTCTTCCAGCGTCTGGCTGAGGGGGAGATCTCCCCAAGACCCCACCCGCATGTGGCTCCTGTGATGGGCACTGCGTGTGAAGGCTGTGGTCTGCCCTCCTGGGCCCTGGGGGAGAAGACAGGACCCCCACAATTCCAAAGCAGGACCCTGCCCTGGGGAGGGAGCCAGGGGCTGTGTGGACACAGCGGGGACACAGAGCCGTGGATTGAATTGTGTCCCCAAAACTTCAGGCCCACCTGGAACCTCCGAACGTGGTCGTATTTGGAAATGGTCTTTGCAGATACCATTAGTTTAGAATCTGGAAATGAGATCATCCTGCATTTACAGCGGGCCCTAAATCCGAGGACAGGTATCCTCATAAGAAGAGGGCCGTGGGGCACTGGCTTCGGCAACACAGATACTAGGAGGGAAGTTTGGACACTGACGCACAGGAGGAAGGTGGCCGTGGGAGGACGGAGGCAGAGACAGGGCTGATGCTTCCGCAGGCCAACAAACGCCCAGGACAGCGCCCAGCCGTGGGAGCTGGGGGGCAGTGAGGGAGGGAGTCTCCCTCAGAGCCTCCAGAGGAACCAGCCCTGTGGACACCTTGATTTTGGACTTCTGGCCTCCAGAACTGGGAGAGAGAAACTTCTGCTGTTTTTCTGTTTGTTTGTTTTGTTTTGTTTTTTTGAGACGGAGTTTCTCTCTTGTCACCCAGGCTGGACTGCAATGGCGTGATCTTGTCTCACCGCAACCTCCGCCTCCCGGGTTCAAGCGATTCTCCTGCCTCAGCCTCACGAGTAGCTGGGATGACAGGCATGTGCACCACCACGCCCAGCTAAGTTCTGTATTTTTAGTAGAGACAGTGTTTCTGCATGTTGGTCAGGCTGGTCTTGAATTCCCGAGGCAGGTGATACGCCTGCCTCGGCCTCCCAAAGCGCTGGGATGACAGGCGCGAGCCACTGCACCCAGCCAAACTTCTGCTGTTTCACGTCGCCCCATTTGTGGTACTCTGTGATGGGTACCTTAGGAAGTCAAGGGAGGCTTCCTGGGACAGGTGATGTCTAAGCTGAGGCCTGAAGCATGGGGTCGCCAGGCAAAACAGCGGGGCGGGCACGGGGCAGACACAAGCAGATGTCAAGCTGCGACAGGGAGGGGAGAGGCAACCAGGGCAGCCCCTGCAGCACCTGGAGAACCCAGCTGGGAAGGGCCGGGGCGGGGCTCCAGAGGTGTCAGGGTGCCTCCTTGCTCTCAGGGCTGCAGGCGTCTGTGGGGAGGAAGACATCCGTGAGATGCTGATGGCCAGGACTGCCCTCGCTTCCTGCAGCCCCCAACCCCTGGGTGCCAAGCGCCACTGGACAGCTCCACCATCCCCAGAGAGTGGGGCCCAGAGCCTCCCTCCCAGGGCTGCCCAAAGCCTCTCCCGTAGTCGTGCTGGGGGAGGTGGGGGAGGGGCTGCAGGGGCTGCCAGCCCACCGCTGGAAGAGAAGATCCCCTGCTGTCCGCACACTGCCTGTGCTGTGAGGGGAAGGAAGGGTGGGCTCACGGGAGGGGAGGGCCAGACGGGGTGGCATGGGAGGGGCAGGGCTTGCCAGGGCACCTGACTTGGGCAGCATGACCATCATGTCATCGGAGAGCCCCAGGGTCGGGTAGAAGTCCTGGAAGGCCTTCAGAGCCTGGGGACTCACGTCCTGGGTCCGGCCTGGGGGGAGCAGAGGTCACTGTGAACCCAGCAGCTCACAGGAGTGCAGCAGGGGATCTCCTGGCCTTACTCCACCTCCCTGAGGGCTGACGGCAAGGCCGCCACCCTGGGTTGGGCAGGTTGTGCGCTGCATAAAGTTCCTGCCGGGCCGAAGGAAACCTGGGGCCTCCTTCCTCAGTCCACACCAAGGTGTCCGGGAGGTCGGGGTGGTCTGGCTGTCCTCATGGGCCCCACTCCCCCTTGAGCATCTTTCCCTGCAGCCCGGAAGCCTCCAGCCTAACCCGGTCCGCTCTACCCTGGGAGTCCGCAGGAGTTAAAGGACCTCAGCCCCAGCCCCGGAACTCAGGCAGCGAGGCCAGGCAGGGAAGGGCTGGGCATCGCTCTCAGGAGGCCAGAGAGGAGCACGCACCGCGGGACGCCCCGCAGCCAACCTCCTCCACGTCCAAAGCACCGCACGCGTCCAGCTCCCGCTGCACCTGGTCCTGGCGAGGCCAGGAGTGTGTGAGGTCACAGCAGGAGAGGGCATGGGGCAGCACCAGAAGGGGAGGGCCCGGGGGTGAGGAGGCGGGGCATAAACTCGGCCTAAAAGTGGGGGGCTCCCCGGAGGAGGTGAGGGTGAGGCCTGTGAGAAGGGGCAGGGCTGGCAGGCGGGTGGGGAGTGGGGTGGTGCAGAACGGATGGGGGCGGGGCCTGTGAGGAGTGGGGGAGGGGCCAGTGGGGGGAGTGGGACAGGCACTCACTGTACAGCTGCACCATGGTGCTGAGGGCCCCCTCCAGCTCCTTGTAGATGTAAAGGACTGCGAAGGAGCTGTAGTCTGTGTCCACGATGCGCACGTCCAGGTAGCCCAAGGCTGCGGAGAGGCAGGCGGCCGATCAGGCTGGAGAAGTGGATGGGCTCGGGCACCGACCCCACCCATGCCTGCCCCTGCTGCTGGGCTGTGAGCATGTTCCCCCAGGACAGAGGAGGGGTGGGGAGGGGCGGGCAGGGGCTGGAGACTGGGATGGACATCTGGAGCCCTGGTGGAAAGTCAGCCCCATGTCACCCCCAGAGAAGCGGCGTCCAGCACCCCTGAAGGCAGATGAGGCAGGACCTACCTGGGACTCTGAAGTGTCCCTTGGAGCCCACCTTCAGGTACTCGGCATCCACCTGGTTACAGCCGTCCGCCCTGGGGGTGCACAGCTGGCTCACTCATGGCACCCAGCTACCTTGGCCCCCCAGCCCAGCCCAGGCAGCCCAGCCCAAGTAACTCACCCCGGGAACTCCATGTGGACGTGGAGGCCGCCCTCCTCTGTGGGCCTGATGGCCCTGGTGGACATAGACAGGTGGTCCTTCTTGCCCAGGAAGACCTTGCAGTCAGATGCCATGGAGACCACGTACCAGAGGCCTGAGAACTGCCGGGGACTTAGTCACTGCAGGCCAGGACAGCCAGCAGCAGGGCCCTCCTTGCCCAGGGACCCAGGGGACAACCCAGAAGTCACACGGCAAGGGGCCTCGGAGTGGCCATCTCTCGGGTGTGAGCTGAGCCCAGGTGGACAGGAACTCATCTCGGGCAAGTCACAGTGCAGCTGTGAGCCTCAGTTCCCCAGCTGTGAAGTGGGTGCAGCAATGATCCATTCACAGGTTGGTTTAGGATTAAGCGCAGAGCGGGTCTACAGCACGTGCCTGGCCGGGCACAGAGCAAGCGCCCCAGGAAAGGCAGTTGTCACAATTATCACGTTGTCTCCGGCGGGAGCCCAGCTCCCACCCACCACAGGACAGCAGAGGCCCCTGGTACCTTTTCAGCATTGAAGTCAGGCTGCAGCAGAACCTCAGCCTGTGCCGTGGGCACCCAGAGCAGGGCCAGGATTGCGCCGAGCAGGAACAACGTCATCGCCTCACCTGCCCTCCAGCCCCTGGTGCTGAGTCCCCAAGCCCCAGGGGGCCAGCTTTATAGCCCAGGCCACCCCCTGGGTGCACCTGCTCCTGGGCGGAGCAGATGGAAGCGGAAGGCACTTCGGCTCTGAGACTCCAGCCCTCTTGTCCATTGTTTGGTACAATCACTCGGGTGTCCCCCAGCCCCGGGGGACATTTCCTGGAGGGCTCCAGACAGCCAGGCTCTGGCCTGACGCACCCGGGCTGAGGATTTGTCCCCTAGGCCTGCCAGACATGTCACCAATCACGGGGTCACTGCCAAGCCACAGCTGAGACTTGTCCTGGCTTGCCTGGACTCATGCCCAAGCCCCTCTGTCCACACCCTGCCTGGCTGGGCTGAGCCAGGGCCCTTGGGGTGCAGCTGCAGGCAGCTGGGCTGGGGTTGCTCTGGCTAGGCCCCTCTCCTGGGGTCTGGCCACCCAGAAAGCCCCCTTCTCTCACCACCAACATGTAGGTAGGGTCACACTGGCAGAGTGTCCAGGGCAGAGCTTGTGCCCCCACACTGTGAGAGAGGCCTGGCCACCCCTCACCCCAGACCCCCACCACCCCCGATGCAGCCCCCAGCTGGGCTTCCAGCAAGCAGGCCAGGGACCAGACGGGACCAGACGGGGCTGGGCCGGCCCTGGGGAGGATTATGGCATTGGATACCACCTTATCACTGGTTGTGTAAGCACGCAGGGGGCAATGACGCCAGGAAGGCGCCACGGGCTGGCAGAGGCCGGAACCTCCCAAGTGACCTCTCTGTGTTCCCACAGAGCACCCAGGGACACTGGGCAAGGAGCAGCAGGTGGCCTCAGAGCACACCACCCAGAAACCTCTGGTCAGGGTTGGGGGTCCTGCCAGGGAGGCCAGCACTGCCAGTCCTCTGGAGTGAGAGTGAGGCAGGAGAAGAGGACCTGGAGACAGCAGGGAGCCTAAGGATATCCTGGAACCAAATCAAATGGAAACACCAACGATGATGGGAACGTGAATGGCTTTGTACCTTCACTCCATCCTCTCCGTTCACATAGGATTTACATAGGGTTTAGATGGGACTCATACCAAGTACGTGACTTTGGTTTGTTTTTTTTTTTTCGAGACAGAGTTACATTGTTGTTGCCCAGGCTGGAGTGCAGTGGCACGATCTTGGCTCTCTGCAGCCTCTGCCTCCCAGGTTTAAGCAATTTGCCTGCTTCAGCATCCTGACTATCTGGGATCAGAGGCACCCACCACCACACCTGGCTAATTTTGTATTTTTAGTAGAGACAGGGTTTCTCCATGTTAGCCAGGCTGGTCCTGAACTCCCGATCTCAGGTGATCCACCCGCCTCAGCCTCCCAAAGTGCTGGGATTATAGGCGTGAGACACCGTGTTCAGCCAAGAAAATTACTTTGACTTCATCTTCCTCATTTACACAGGGCATACACCAAGTAACCAATGGTAAACCTCTAGAGGATATTGAAACCCCAGAACATTCTGTAACTGGGGCCCTTGAGCTGCTTGCTCCGCCTGCTCCCATCCTATAGAGAGTGCTTTCATTTTCAGTAAATCTCTGCTTTTGTTGCTTCATTCTTTCCTTGGTTTGATTGTGTGTTTTGTCCAATTCTTTATTCAAAATGCCAAGAACCTGGTGTTTGGGTGAAGGAAAAGGGACAAGATGGAGGAAGGTGAACAAGATGGAGCAGTCCTTGTTGTTTCCGGGTTCTTCACAGATTTTCCCGCGCCCGGGAAAAGAACCAAATCAACTGAGCATGCGCAGA